TGTGATTTAAATAAATAAAATCTTACATTGATGGGTATTGGGTTTTGGATTAAAGGAAACATTTCATGAATTGTTATTTATTATTTAAATTGTTAATTAATTGTTTAAAAATAGAGTTAAGGTTAAAGGAGTTTTAATTTAGAAGGAGAAAGGTAATTGATGATTGGATTAGGTATGATTATGATTAAATCATTGCTTAATGGTTTTAAAAATTAATAAACCCATTAATGGATGTAACTGTTATATTATATATAATTATTTATTTATATATATGTGTATCATCTTATATTAAAGGTTAAAACTTTAATTAGGATGATTTTGGTTATATATGCTTTATTTATCGGTTTTCAGAGGTTTGGTAAAGGGAACTTACTCATAGGTCCAACCCACGATTTATTTTTCAGATTATTAGAAGTTCCAGTCTCGAGGTTGAGGATCCGCAACTGGGAGACTGTTATTCATCTACTCATCTTGTATACTTTTAAGTAGTATTGTTATTTATTGTTGGATGTTATATATAAATTGATAGATTAATAGTTGATAGTTTAGGGGTCCTTGACTTATATGATTCTTGAGTTGTGTTTTAGAATTTTAAATTCATGAAAATTATTTTTGTAAAAGAAGTTTTATTTTATTAATAAAATTTCCTTCAGTGATTTATTCATTATTTTTATTCTTCTTGTATTTTGTGTTCGTTTAAATACTAAATTGTTTTGATATCCCTAGGTCTTCGGGTGTGGGCTTAGCCAACCTACATGTGAAAATTTAGGTGTATCACACATGATAGTTGGTATCAGAGCCAAGTTGTTACGAGTGTGAGAGTGCGCCTCGGTACATCGGCGACAAGGGCGAGTGTTGGGGAGATGACGAGAGGAGGTGACACGAGGTGCTGCCAAGGAGGAACCTTGTCCATTGGGTAAGTGCATAAGGGAGCTACACAAGGAAGCGATGCAAGGCCACGTTAGCAGAAGCTTGGGTAAGTCAGGACTCGAGGGGAGATGTTCATGGCACGAAGGCACAGGCACAAAGTCTTCATGCTCAAAAAGAGACCTTGTGTCGAGTTGATGGCAGAGGATCGAGCACCACGTTGGGGAGTGTTTTTGGTGCGATGGCGAGCACCACATGAAATACTGCCCCACAACACGGAGGTGGCTAGAGCAGGAGGGCAAGCAAAAGTTATGCCCACTAAGTGGAGGAACGCATAGTGCGCTAGTATGCTTACAGTTGGCTTCGTTGCTAGTGCCAAAGAAGAAGGAGGTTCCAGAATCTACGTTTGTCATGCAGGAGTGCAAGAGTGAGCCACAAAGATAAGGCCAAGGGGAGGAAGGAATCTTGAGGGAGACCATACCAAGCAAGGAGGAGAGTTTCCCTTACTATCCACTTGTGGGCTAGAGAAGGAGGAGACCCTCGTGCAGGAGTGCATGGGTGCGTTGTTAAAGAAGGGCATCATGGGAGTAAGCATTGGAGACAAGTCAGTGTCGTGCAAGGAGGATTTTTTTCCACCCACTAAGGAGCTTGTGGGTAGCACTAGAAAGGAGAAGACTGTGAGGGTATAGGTACTCATGGAATGTGCTCGTGAGCAAGTATGGGAGTCAATGGGAGCATAGTTGGGCATATGGACAACCTTAACCTTGGAAGGGCACGTGGAGGAATGGTACACCTTGCTAGTTGAGAACATGAAAAGGGACAACAAGGCCAACATCACAAAAAGGAGTCGTGACATGCAGAGGCGGCCAAGCTACACGTCGAAATAAAGAGAGGTTAGGAGTTAAGGGAAGCTGCGAGCAGATTGTGCCTGAGTAGAAGGGGTTTCCAGACGAGCTTAGAGGATGAGCGCCAAGACTGGTACGAGGGCGTTGCAAGAATTGGGTGGGGGAGAATGTCATGGCTCGTTTAATTACAAGGAGGTTACGTCACGCAGGTGACACGTGTACGCGGAGGAAGTGCTTGCATGACATGAGAAGAGTATAGTATAGTAGAGTTCTAGAACCTTTCGGAATTGTGTAGAAAATTTTAGAATATTCTAGAGAAAGTTGGAAGGTTGTAGAATATTGAAAAATTTATAGATAGTCGCAAAGAAGTAGAGAATATTATAAAATATTAGAGAGTTTTTTTAGAATGTAATTAATTAGAACATTTATGTTGAGTTTTCTAGAAGCTAGGAAGGTGCCTATAAATAGGCAATGAGGGACATTTGTACCAAGAAGCTCTGGAGTGAGAGAGCCTTATACACTTGAGTAATAATATAAGTAAAATTCCTCTTGCCAAATTTGCGTAAGCGTAATGACCCTCACCCTCTCCAGACATAGCATTGTCCACTTTAGCTCCCTAAGACCAGAGACTTCCTAGGGGTTTATCCATCCTGGTACTACTCCATGTTAAACATACTTAATTTCGGAGTTCTGGTAGGTTCACGACCATCACGGCTTTAAAATGCATTGTGTTATAGACGGGTGTTGAATCTACATGTAACACTTGCCCTATCCACAACTAGGTGATGTGCGATTGTGCACCTGTAACTCGCCTAGTGTGGTAGCCTACTGTGCCACCTGCACACGCTCACACACACCAGCCCACAAGGTCGCCACACTAAGTGTGTGAGTATGCAAGCCGAGAGGAGTGCGTGATGCATTACAACACGAGTGGAGTGTGTTGGCACGAGCAATTGTGGGAGTTAGGTTGACCAAGGCCTTATGCAAGTAGAAGCAACACCTTGGTGCCGCACATGTGTGGCTGGAGTGGTGGGGAAACTTTGGGCCCGTGACATAGGGCTCCAATTGGCCCTGTGCTGCTATGCATATCCTTGGTCTATAAATAAACTAGAACCAAAACAATTCTAATGATTCCTAATCAAAATGATAAAATCACTTAAAACTAAACTAAATTGAACCATGCAAGAAATGTTTGAACTGGTTTAATTTTTAAAATTAAACTTTCCTAAAATCATAATATAAAATTAAATACGTTCTAACTAATTTTTCGTGTGATTTGAAGGATGAAAAAATGGATAGAAAAAAGAGGAGAAGGGATGGATGAGGCATCAATGGGGAAGGGAAGGTGTCTCCCTCATTTTTAATTTGGTTAGATATAAATGGATAGGAGAAAGAATGGAAGGGATGTCAGATCATGTCATTTTTTTGTTTGGTTGAAAGAAAGGGAAATAGAGTTTGTATATTCTTTTTACCTATATACCCTCATTATGTTTTGAAAACTAGTGTTTTAAGTGTGAATAAAACTTGCCTACAACTTAAGTTAGAAAATACAGTCACGTTAAACTAACAATGTGAATGTGATTCTAGATGTCCATGTATGTTAGAACTGCAATGTGAATACGACTTTGGTTGTCCATGTATATCACGTTAGAGTAGCAATATAAACGTGTAGGGTCAACTGCATGCAAATATCCTGGTGTGAAGTAGTCGTGTATGAACTTAAATGCCTACCACAAGTGGTGCGTAGTGCAATTTAACGTTAATTATATTTGGACTACAAAAACATAACGCATCATTGCATGAGTGTTAGTGTTGGTGATTGTAATTGTTGTGTGATAAAGGTTGTGTTTATTCGGGTAATGTGATGTTTTAGGAGTGGTTATAATCAACATAAGCATCTGGTTTGAATCATTGCATCTCAAATGAACAGACATACACAATACCCAAGAGGCACTTCTAAGTCTATAAATATCCAGGGGTGCCATAATTCATTCAATTCATTCTAGAGAGAATTCACATTTAATTCTCTACAATTTTCTTTATTTCTCTCTCATGAACCCAAGTGGTTCAAGCCATGGTCAAGTGGTCCGAACCACTAGACCCAAAAACCTACAACACTAAGTCATATTTAAATTGGTCCGAGCCTTTTGGTTCAGATTGAACCCATTTCATTGTTTCAGTAGTATAGGTGCAATTATGAGTCAAAGTAGAGAGAGTATTATTCTTGCAAGGTAGTACACAATGCCGCTCTTTGCACGGGTGGGCTCGGATTGAATGCCATAAAAGGCGTGTCTTACCCTCACTGGACACCAGTTAGTTTTCAAATAAAATGGTATGGCTCGATCCAACAAGTGGTATTAGAGCCAGAGGTCATTGGTTCGATTTGCAAGAGCCCCATCGCATAAGGGAGGGATTGTTGGCAAGGTAGCACACAATGCCTCTCCTTGCACAGGTGGGCCTGGATCGAATGGCATAAAAGGCATGTCTTACCCTCATTGGATACCAATTGGTTTTCAGATGAGATGGCACAACCCGATCCAACATATTATAGAGGAAGTTTGCTGTATTAACGAGTTTGAAGTTTATGTATGATGTTGTTCAGGTTGGTGTCATTCACCTCGCGAGGAATTGTGCCGTGTCATATGATTCTCTGAGCTTCTACAAGAAGATTTAACATGAAATAGCACCATCTCTGCTCAAGCAAATTCAACATGTAATAGCATTATTACCCATCATATATTTTGGCTTGTCACTACCCAGCCACTGAAAAAAAAGAAGAAGAAAAAAGAAAAAAAAAAAAATTCTATTGGCAACTTCTTACCATTAGTTTGGGGATAAAAGGAGGTACTAATTCTTGTGCACCCACAAGAAGACTCATATGAGCCATTTGACAAAGGTGACTTCAAAAAACAGAAAAAAGAACTACCAATTAAGTTATGCCTAAATGGTTTTTGACATATAGACATGGCTTTTAAACTGAAATGTCAGAATGATTTGACAAGAAGAGCAACCTGTTACATTCATGGTATATTGTTCCATGGCAAATATTCTCTTACACTGCTTGATGTACGCGTTACAAAAACCGCGAGATCATTCCTCATTAGAGAAATTAAGCAAACTTAGTATAAATACCATCATAAAGTACCATTCAGATTATGTGTTCTTTAGGAAATTTGAGGCCATTTAAAATTCAAATACAGTAAACTAATTAATTAAAATGTGCTAACAAGATCCAATAGTTTCTTTTCAGCTAGTTCACAAAACATCAAATTAGTCATATCTATTTCTAATACTGGAGAATGATAGAGACATTAAAGGACCCTCCATTGCTTCCTAAGCATTGGCAAGTCATAATGATTACAATGTTCACAAATGGAAAAGAATAAATTCATTTCCTATCAAACCTTACAACCCGGGAACAAATATATAAATTTTTTGTTGAATTTTTGTCTGCAACCACCCCCTTCTGATCCTCTCACTTCAATATATAATGTACATGAGCATCCAAGAATCTTTCGAAATTCACGATTTTTCTGAAACATGTAAAGATGTTAGCCTCCCCGCCATAACAAAGATAACGATTTTGACTCCTCTGATGTCACACCAACACAAATTCAAACAAACACATCACGTCGCTTCTTGGGGTTTGCCCCTGCTTCCGGGTTGCCCTTCCTCATCATGGCCACAAATTCATCGTAGTCTACCCGGCCATCCTGCAAATATTCAAAGCATATATTACTTGCATAGTCAAATTCATCTGTATAGAAGTAATGTGAATCAAATATATACTTATTAGTGCAAATTTGATACTTAATTAGTCCTAAAAATAAGTGTGCCATGTTACTTTCAGAATGCCAAGAATGTTTCAATGAACTGACTGAGAAATTGCTCTAAATAGTAAGTACTCCTCTGTTTGGTTGCTGAGAAGATTTTGAGAAAAATGAAAGAAAGGCCAGACACTGATATCCAACAACCATCCAGAATTAGAATAGAAGTGTAAGATCCTGATTTTTCTGTCTGTTTCTTTAAACAATTTGGCAAACACATGGATTTCAATTTGTGTTCCATCAATAACAACAACGAGTCACGTTTTTTTGTTGCTTACATTATCGGAGTCAACTTCAGAAATGATTTCTTTAATGTCTCTCTCGTCATTCATGCCAAACTCCTTGAGAGCTTGCTCAAGTTCTTCGATTGTAATGTACCTGATTACGAAGGAAGTGAAAAATTAGTATCAGAATCTAAACTTGAAGAAACTTGAAATAGTTCTAGATTCAATCATCTGTTGTTATAATTACCCGCTGTTATCTTTGTCGAAGTACTGGAATGCAGTGTAGAGATGCTCTTCCCTGTCCATTCTGTTCAAGTGCATCGTTGCAGTAATGAACTCGTCGTAGTCTATGGTCCCATTGCCATCTGCATCAGCCTGTTTCAGGGCGGACATCAAAATGAGTATATACTATGATGATACTAAAATTCTCTAATAATTGATTTTAGTTATGGAACTCACTGCATCCATTAATTGTTTGGCTTCATATTCGGATAGCTTTGTCCCTTGCTTGTCCAGTCCTTGCTTCAGCTCCTCAAGTGTTATCGTACCACTGTTGTCAGTATCTATGGCCTTAAACATCTGTTTCAATCCCATGATTTCCTCCTCTGAGAGACAACCCGCGATAACCTAACCATTTTAAGGGAAAAAAAATATGATGAGGAAAATTCCTAAAAATCAATGTACAATGAAAAATAACAATACAAAATAAACTACGTTGGGACCAAAAGGTCTCCAAAGATGGAATTGCTGGAATGTGCCTAGCTAAGCTAATGAAGATGGTATGAATGGAAATCGTCCAACGATTGAAATGAGATTAATTTTCTTATTAAAAACCGAGTAAACGTATTAATTTTACTTCATTGAGGAAAATATAGAATACCCTTAGAGCAACTTTCTTGAACTTGTTCATTGCCCTGAACTGTTTGAGCCTAGCCAAAACTGCATTGTCAAGTGGTGTATCAGGCGCTTCTCCGTCCTCCTTAATCCAAGGATGATCTGAAAAAACAATCACGATTTATAAGTATATGTAATATTAATACCACAAACATTATGGAAATATTTTTTTATCTCCAATCTAAGCAAGTGTTGTTAACAAGTATTCTCAACTATATCACCTCCATTTTTCAGTAATTAAATCGTAGTTCTAAGCCAACCAATACAATACGTGGTCTTAGATTTATTTTTACTGTCATATGTCTTCATGTATATGAAACAATCTATTCATGACAATACACAACCATACTTACTGAGAACTTGGAAAGCTGAGAGCCTCTGCTTGGGGTCTAAAGTCAACATCTTCCGGACAAGATCCTTTGCTTGAGATGAAATTGAAGGCCATGGATCGCTTGTAAAATCAATGTGACCCCGCAGGATTGAATTGAATATCCCTTGCTCGGATTCTGTAAACATAATTCTCTTGTTCGTTATCATTCAATCAACCATACTCTCTGCATATATCTGCTTTTTATCTATATGAATGAAAAGTTCTGAAAAATAAAATAACTTTTCATTTTTTAACGACGACTTACCTGCCCAAAAGGGAGGAACTCCAGATAGAAGAATGTATAACATGACCCCGATGCTCCATATATCAACCTCTGGTCCATATCTTCTCTTCAAGACTTCAGGTGCAATATAATACGCACTGCCCACGATATCTTTAAACACTTCATCTGTTGATAGGAAAAATCATTTTTTGCATTAGATGTAGTAAGAAAGAGTGGGATTAAAACAAATTTTTTCGAAAAAACTACACCTTCTCCAACTTTGATTGAAGTAAAAGGGAAAATATGTCAATTCAACAATCTGCAATCATATGAATTCTTGAGGCAATTTATTCAGAAGTGTTTGGCAACCATTTAAAACCACAAGAAAATGGTTAATATTGTTTTTCATGTATAACATGTGAATCTATGTGTTTCTCTCAGCACTACTCTTCAAGAAAAGTTGTTTAAAATTCTTAATTAATTCAACTCATTTCTATATTGCTATTATTACTTTGGTTGTTTGATATTACAGATTGTATTAACTCCTGTGCATTGATTCGATAATTTTCATTCTTACATTTTTGTACTTTTTTCATTTCAACATGCTGCAGATAATTTTTATTTTTTAATTTTTATTTTATAGCCATTAGATAGTGACTTGACCAAATTATATCCCCCGAGATTATAAATTTTGTGCAGGATCTCCACATTATATAATAAAATAGAATTTCCCTTAAAAAGCAAAACAAGACACAGAAAAATAAATACAGAACCTTGCTTGTAGAACACTGAGAGACCGAAATCTGTAGCTTTGAGTGGCGAATCCTCATCCTTGTTCAAAAGGAGGAAATTCTCGGGCTTGAGATCCCTATGGATGACACCCATCGAATGGCACGTGTGCACGATCTGCACAATGGTCCTCAGCAACGATGCAGCAGCTCGCTCCGTGTAATGTCCCTTTGCAATGATCCGATCAAAGAGCTCCCCTCCAGCACACAACTCCATTACCAGATGCACCGAATGCTTGTCCTCGTACGCCCCCTTAAGTTCCACAATGTTAGGCTGCCCGGTCAAATGGTGCATGATTTGGACTTCCCTCCTAACATCCTCAATATCCTCCTTGTTAACCAGCTTCCTTTTGGCAATTGTCTTGCAAGCGAATTGCTCCCCTGTTTGTTTGTGAGTACACAGATAGGTAATGCCAAATTGTCCCCTACCAAGCTCTTTTCCGATAGTATAAGTCAGACGAACGTCCTCCACTGGCCGGCCTAAAACAGGTCCGATTTGGGGGTGCTTGGAAGGCTTGGGAGTGGCATGATTTGGAGAGGCCGAAGGAGCTCCGGTTCTAGGTGGGATGGTGCCATTTTGGGATGAGGGAGGTGTGGCATTTTCAGCATTGTTCAGGCCAGAATCTCCCTTTTCGTTGTCGGTGGCATTGTTATTTGGGGCACTCAGGAACCGGGAAGTGCCTTTGGGGCAACAATTCCCCATTGATTAGAGTTTAAGGAAGAAAAAGAGAAAGAGAGAGGGGTGGCAAAGATATAGGAAGAGGGTGGCCCTGAGACAGAGCAAAAAGGCAATGTGATTTTGGGGGCATAAGAGATTATTGTTATGAAACAGAAAAAAATGTAAGAGGAGAGAGAAAGAGAGAGAGAGAGAGAGAGAGAGAGGTTTGATACAGGTTGGATTCTAAGGAATAACGGAGGGCATTGATGGTGAGGAATTTTGGGGGGGGGGGGGTGTCTGAAATGGGTTGAAAGAGTCATTGGAGAGTATAAAATGGGAGGCTTAGAAGATTTCCCGGGAAACAAACGGTATTTTGATTTGGTGGCAATCTATGATTAACGGTTAGGAGATAAGAAAATTGCACTGTTGGCATTTCAACTTTGCAAAATGACAGCTATTCACCACAATTAATTCAAACCAAACAAATTTTCATAGAAGTAATGCTTGTTATAATATTTGAAATCACCAAATTACCCCTATCATCTATATATAGATGTCATGATTTGCTAGTTTCAATTCCCACTAGCTCTGGTTTAACCGTTTAAGGACTAATTTGTCATTAAACAACTTCCCACTCAGTTCCTTGGCTGGCAACTATATATAGAAGCCATATCAAACACAACTATCTTTATGTATACAAGCCATAATACTTTAGTCCATCCTATGACTTCTCTTCTGTTCGTGGTATGCACATACCTCCTAAATTTTTTATATAAACCACTCTGTCAACTATGAATATAATTGAATATATCACTCATCAATTAAAAAAACATGGTAACAACATTTCTGTAGCTGGAAATTGGTTATTGTGCTCTGTTTATATTGCTGTTTTTCTTGATATCTCAGCTGCACAAATTCAGTCTCTCTCTCTCTCTCACACACACACAAACATAAACACACACACACACACAAACAGTGTTATAGTTAACTGCATGGATGGCTGAAGCTGATACTGTTAGAGTAAGCTTAAACTATATTAAATCCACAGGATCTCTTTTGTAAAATCTTCACAAATTTATTTATTTATTTATTTATTTTTTCCAGTTTTGGTCAGTCAGAAAGATAAACCTGATGAGAGAAAAATTTACTGTTTCTGCAACAGAAAGAGACTTTATATAAATGATAAGCTTGCTCATGTCGCATGTAAAATCTTCACAATTTTTTTTTTTTTTTTTTTATTTTTTTTATCAAATAATAAGACTGAATCCTTAGATGTAATGCTGCAATGTGCCACACAGTTTTGACTTTGTACTAGTTAAAGAATTCCACCAGTTTGGAAGGTTAAATAGAGGTACATTTTTAACAACTCCAAATGATTTTTCTGGGATTTCCACTGGATATTTACTTCTGCAATTATTTATGCTTCTTTAATATTTTGACATGTTCAGATTGTCGTATAATTTTCCTGAAACTGAAACATTTTCTACAAGAATTTTATTAATAATAATAAAAAAAGAGAGGAAATTTTCCATTCAAATTGAAGTTTCCTATTAGTTGAACACAGAACTTTTCCATCTCCAACCATTAAACAATAGCACGAGCCTCTTCCAACCAACAGAAGGTCTTTTGTATCAAGACTTGTAAGTTGATATTGCCAAAAATAGGGGTACGCCTGTGTACCTGGACTCGGATGCGTGTGTCGGGTGCGGATATTTATCGAGGCATAAGAGATGTCGTATTCCTATCGTGTGTCAAGTGTGGATGTGTAACGAGAAGTTGTCAAATCCCCAAATGAAGGACACATGGACACTGCAAAATATAAATATTATCTGATTTATCTATTTAATTTTATAGAGTAAAATAATTTTCTTATGTCACATAATGATTAATATAAGCATATCACTCATCTTGAAGCAATAATATAATACAATTAAATCATTAAATATGTTTTTTAGGTGCATGTTCAACCAAAAGAGTCGGACACATGTCCCATACCCATGTCCGAGTATAGTGTGTCTGACACAATACTTCAACTACTAATGAAGAGTGCATATAATATATGGTACCACTAGAGGTTAGAATATTTGTACAAACATGGTAAAAAAAATCACATCAGATATGAACTTTATTAACAATCTTGTGCATGTTTTCTTCATTCAGAAAGTACCTTCCAAATTCACTGCTTACTCTGGAAAAAAAATTATGTACCAACATCTCAGATCTCATGTAACAACAGTAAAACATAAATGTGAATAACTTACACCAATACAATATTATTTCCTTATACAATGAGGGCAATGCATATAGTTGGAGTGTTTCTTTAACTACGTTTTACCATGAGCTACTGGTAAGTTGTTCGGATTCGATACGGGGTTGCTATTCCAAGCTAGGTGCCTCCTCGGTGGGGTTGGACTCGAAAACATCTGAGTTAGAACCGTCTGGTTCTTCTAAAAGCTCTCTCGATTGGATCGATTCCTTGTACGCAGGAGTCTGCTTAAAATCTGTTGCACCTTCATTGTATGTGGCCACGGCAATTCCACATGCAACTAACTGAGAACATAAAAGTTCCAAAATCAACCTCTGTTTAAAGAACCAACCTTTCCAAGTGCAAATTTTAGGGAAAAAAAAAAAAAATAGAAGCAAAATCACACACGCAAATATGCACATTTGTAGCCGTCATTGTAAAATGTAAACTATCATCAGTCTAGATGCAGAAGATTCCTTGCCATAGAGTATAGACAGAAGACATTAGCAAACTCATACTTCATTGCTCAGAGATCATCAACACAACTGAAATCATACTTGACAAACCCTGCTCCCAAAGGTAGATAATGTTTCCCACTTTATAGCTCCAAAACGTACTTATGTCACATTAACTTACCAAAATTTTACCCAGAACTTTCAAAGAGATGCATTTGACACACGTCATGTCAAATTTATAAGTTTTAAATATAGCCCGTGTATCCTAATTTCTGTCTTAGATGATGATTGTGTAAGCTATCGAACGAATTCAGTGACGGAGCCAGAAAATTTTGTGAGGGGGCCGACTTTTTAATTTGTGGGTACAAAATTATATGATGGGTTCATTTTTGTAATTTTAATAGGGTTTTTTTTCATAAATTTTTAAAATTTTAAAGTATAAAATGAAAAAAAAAAAAAAAAAATCAGTGGGGCAAATTATAATTCTAGTGGGGGCATCTTCATAAATTATCAAAATTTGAAGTATAAAATGCTAAAAAAAAAAAGAATCCAGTGGGGGCGAATTGTAATTTTAGGGGGGGCATTTTGCATAAATTTTTAAAAAATTAGGGTATAAAATGAAAATATTAAAAATCCAGGGGGGGCATCTGCCCCCCCTGGTCACCTGCTGGGTCTGTGCCTGCGAACGATCTTTCCCTGAGACAGCTGCTTGTGGGCATACAACTGAGATCCCCAAGGACTCCACAACTATCACGAAATAACAGATTATGAAGTGCTGGAACAACTTTTTTTCAGTGCATCAATTCTTTTCACTGCCTAATCTATACAATGATGTTGAATTAAGGGATACAACTCCTTTTTATCACAGCTTGGTTTTGATTGATACACTAATATATGCAATTATATGATATATATTTTCTAAAAAATATGGCAAAATGAAAACAGAAAATAAACACATCAAAATAAGAAACAAAAAATGTAATGATCATTATAAGTAACACATCTTAAGTTCACTTCATTTATAGGGGGAATCTATCTCATGACTGCATAATTTTTTTAGATAAATAGTCAATGCTGAAGTAACTATAATTAGAGTCTATATACTAGAACAAGAAAACTAAATACCATCTTCCCCTTCATCAAAGTTTCTATGCCAGTTACATAACCAACCAAATTCTCATTTCTATTCAACAACTCCCCCTCCTTGCCTCCCTCTGACCATCCAAAAAAGCCCCTAGCCAGTGTCTATCTTTTGCCAATCACATACACTTCCAAATCATTTCGCTCCATCATCTTCCTCTCCAAGCTTATTGGCCATCCGACCTCCCTATAAAGCTCCTTTGCAGTGAGCTATTCTATGCCAACTACCCATTCAGTCTCCACCAAATTCTCATTTCTATTCACCATCATCCCCTCTGGCCCATTGGCCCTCCAACCTCTGGAATAATTACCCATCACAGTGTTTTTTTATTCCAATTACACATTCAACCAAATCCTCATTTCTATTCAGTATTCACCATCTTCCGTGGGAGCCTTTTGGGGTCCGAGAAAGCCCCTTTCCAGTGTCAATTCGATAGTAGTCCATATAAAACCCATATATCCCATCAAGTTGATCAGTAGGAGCATAAAACAGTTCACCAGATAAATGCTTTTTAAGTTTAAAAAGAACTACTACTTTCTTTCTCTCTTCACATATAATATACCAACAAGATATGCTTATCCAAGAATCAGAAAATTTTCTGGGTCCTCATCCATCCAACAAGTTAACCAGTAGGAGCAAAAAATAGTTCACCAGATCATAAATGCTTTCAAGTGTAAGAAGAACTACTAATACTCCTCCTCCTCTCTCTCTCTCTCACACACACACATATATTATACTGACAATATATGCTTATCTAAGAATTAAAAAAACTCTCTCTAGTTTTTTTTAGTAGTCCCATTTAGCATCAAAACAATCATATAAAGACCGATTAAAACCCTTTAACATCAACCAACAATTGAAACCCAATTCGAGAAAAACCCTCTTTGGTCGCACAAGCGCTAACATTTACTATAAAAATCAATCACACAAAAGACCCATTAAAATCCCCAAAGGCCCCAAAACCCCAATCAACAAACAAACCAAGCAACAAACAGGTGGTACGTGGAAGAGTGAATTACCGCGAAAACAATCCCAAAAGCCCACATGTACTGCACGAAGAAGCCAAGACCGTCCCACTGAGGCCCCTCCCAGAAATCCGGCTTGTCTCCGGGAAGCTCCGGCAAGAAATACCCATCGTCAACATCAACATCAGCGGCTGCTGCTTCGCTTTCAATCTCAGCAGTCCGTTGTTTCAGCTCATCTTCTTGTTCTCTGGTCGTGGTCGCGCTCTTTCTGTTCTTGCTGTCGAACCTCCCGGTTCTGGAGGAGAGCTTCTTGCCTGCTGAGACTATGTGAGAGTTTCGGTGTGGGAATGGAAGAGAATGAGATGGGTTTGATGGGGATAAAATGGGACCTCGGAGGGAGGGGCGAGTAGAGGAGCTTGTAGTGGCGCCGCCGTATGGGATCCCACCGCCGGCGACTATGGTGAGAGCCATGGGAGTGGATGAGTGAGAGAGAGAGGGGGGGGGGGGGGGGGGGGGGGAGAGAGTGAGAGTGGTGAGACTGTAAATGAAGCCTATAAAAATCTGTGTGGATAAGAAAAGAATATCCTGGTTTTTGCTATTTGGGGCTCCTATTATTTTTCAATTGCTCTGTGACCATTTAAAAAAGACAGTATTTTGTGAATAATATAGTCCCTTTTGTCATTTGCATGTGCTTAATGTAACAATTTTATATGGTCAACACAGTAAATATAAATTATTATTGTAACATATTTTAGCCTTTAATTTATGGTATTATAATATTATAACACGGTGTAATTGTATGAATGTTATATTTTCGATATAAATATATTGTATAAGTATACAAATCACCTAAATATAGGAGATCTGAGTATATATTATATAGTCGAGTCCACATTTTTTTGAAAGGGTTATTGTATAACCGTATAATAGTGCCTTCTCACCTCTTCGAGTAGCGGCGGGCAAAGAGTTCAAGTGTTTAGATAGTGTTACATATATGGGTAAAATGCAAAAAAAAATTCTGACTTAATTACCCCTAATCAGAAAAAAGTTTTAAAAAATTATTGTAAACTTTTAATAAATTACAAACAAATTTGAGAAAGCAATTTGAGCTCAAGTTGATTTTTAAAATTTTCAACTCTTACTTAATCCTAACTCGGCTTTTAACTCTAGTTACTTAAACTAGCCTAATCTATCATTCTATTTTTAAATTCTGATTTGCAACTCAGACTGAAATTTTGAGTTAGAAAGTTACTTACCCAAAGCAACAAAGTTTCCTAATATTCTCAACTTTATATGACCAATCTCCACATTGAAATTTTAATATGATATTGAGTTACTTTAAGATTAATTAACTCCTAACCACAAAAAGTTTTAAAAAATTATTGCAAACTTTTAATAAATTACAAACAAATTTTTAGAAAATAAATTCTCCAAAATATTAACATACAATAAAAGATTTAAATAAAGGAAGTTAAAAAAAAGAAACGTGTTCATAATTTGAATATTATATATAATGTATTAACATGGAAAATATATATGGAAATAATATTAGAATTAGGCCGGATTTGGGTTGACTCGGGTTGCTAACATCTTGACCCAAGCCTGACCCTTATTAAGTTCGAATTTAAATTTTGCTACCCAAGCCCAACTCTAAATCGGGTTGTACTCAAGTTGCCTATTAAATAGGTAGCACATGGTGGCAGTTAAATGTATTTAATGAATCCTATTTTAATGTACTATCATGTTTTAAAATAAATGTCCACTTTAAAAATTGTGACTCATATTTAATAGTTTTCTACTTTAAAAAATATGAGTCAAAGTTTTAAAAGTGTACATTTATTTTGAAATAGAAATAGTAAGAGATGTGCTAATCACAGTCGCCCCCGCGACTATAGAATCTCAGTCGCTAGTTTAGTAATTGACGCATGTATTTTTTTTTCCAATAATTAATTACTATTTTTATGCTAACTTCCTCTTGGGTCTCTCATTATATATAATTACTATACTAACCTCCTAAATGAGAAACCGGTGAAAAAAGTACTATAATCTGGTTTTCTCTAAAATTATCTGTTTTTTCATATCCCTATTCTCTGTTTCGAAGTTTTCGGTTGTTTTTTAAATAAAAAAAATAAAATCAAATAGAAAAAAAAGTATAATTTGAAAAAAAATTTATATTACTTTTTTCTTTTTTATTTTATGATAATTTTTTTATTTTTTTAATTTGAAAAATTAGAGCAATACTTCGAATACAAAGATCTGAAAAAATTTAGATTTGAACTTCAAACATTTAGATATGGAATTTTGTAAAAAATAAAATTTTAAAGTGAGATGGAACCATGGAGGTTTCAGATTAAAAAAAAAAAAAAATCAGTGAAAAAAGTACTATCAGATCCCTATTATCTGTTTCGAAGTATTAGGTTGTTTTTCAATTAAAAAAAAATAGAAAATCAAATTAAAAAAAAAGTATAATCTGAAAAAAAAAAAAAAAAATTATAGTACTTTTTTCTTTATGATAATTTTTTTTTTTTTTTTTAATATGAAAAATCAGAGCAATACTTCGAATACAAAGAATACGGATCTGAAAAAATTCAGATTTGAACTTCAAACATTTACATATGTACTTTTGTAAAAAAAGAAAATTTTAGTGTTGGAACTTCAAACATATATGAAATTCTGTAAAAAATAAAATGTTAAAGTGAGATGGAATCGTGGAGGTTTCTGAAGTTTCTCGGTTAGGAGTCTAGTATAGTAATTATATATAATGAGAGACCTAAGTCTAGTATAGTAATTATATATAATGAGAGATCCAAGAGGAAGTTAGCATAAAAATAGTAATTAATTATTGGGAAAGAAAATACACGCGTCAATTATTAAATTCGCGTCAATTACTAAATTAGTGACTGAGATTTCACAGTCGCGGAACAACCGTAATTAGCACTCCTCAAATAGTAAAACCAAATAGGATTCATTAAATTCATTTAACGGTCTTTAGTGTCCCCACTTACATAGAAAATGACAATACTTGCCTATGTAATTGAATCATTCATCAAGCAGATTCCTTTACGACAGCCAATGACTGAGAATCTTGGACCCACGGCTTTCACCACAATTTTAATCAAAGATTTAAAGGTTAAGAGCTATATTCTTATAATACTAATAAATATTATTATTTATTCAAATAAAGATTCCATTATACTAATTTTGTAAAAAAATAAAAAAAAATAAAAATTAGGGTTATTGATTTGTGAAAGAAAGTTCATTTTTATACTTTGATTTCATGACAGGACACTAGTTATCCATCCACCCACTTATTTTAACAAATCAACCTATAAAATTCGCCCATTTAGAATGCAAATGACCATTAATGGCTCGGAGACCATACCGATAAGTATTAATGTCTTAGAGAACGTGATAATTCTGATGAACATCTCAATTGATATTTCTTTAAATCCATTGTTTTGGGCTAATGTACCTTAATCAAGGACAATCCATGGCATGAGCTATAGATATGACTTAATTAGGAGAATACAAACCTAAAATCAATCACCCCTTGAATAGTAAAATTTGAAATCAGAAAACAAAAACAAAAAAAAATAAAGGGTATGCCTGGCTAAAATTTTTACTTCGTGTTTTTTTGCTTTTACTAGTGTATTGTAGCGAAACAAAAGCACGAAACATATTTAGTAATATTTGTTGTGCTTTTGAATCGTATCGAAACGCTTCCAAAATTAAGGCCAAAATTGAAAGCATTAAAATAATGCTTTTGTTTGCTTCCGCACTGTAATAAAGTACTCTTAAAAATAATAATAATAATAATAATAATAATAAAACATTTTAAACTAATCATTCAAAATTTCAAACTTGCAACACTTTTTACCAAACATGCTTTCATATTTTTGTTTCTAAAAATCTTGTAACAAATTTATGTTGCCAAACAAACTTCTAAATAGTGTTGAACACACTCTATTATTTCTACTTCGGATCAAAGTAAAAGCACAAATTGGTAGTTCAATTGGTAGAGGCGTTCCTGAGTCGTGTAGGACAGTAGGAGAACAAGTTCCACTGGACTCCTCCTTGCCAGATTCTAAAAAAAAAAAAAAAAAAAGAGAGAGAGAGTTACAGCTTTGGTGCGGTAAAATATTGATCAATTCTTTGTGTCACATTGATGATAAGTATAAACTTCTTACTCACTAGACAAGTATAATCCTTTGTGTTTTTATCTCATTTGGGAAATAATTTTCCTCTTTAAGTAATGAAGGTTGCAAGAGGTTTCATCGAAGTCCTTAAACATACAAATTTGCACGTTAAATTCCTAATCAAGCACTGTACTCTTTGGTGTTCAATGCTGATAATTGATAACAAACACTCACGCACCCTAAAATGCTTATAGTTTGAACTTATAGGGTAAGATTATGGAGCCTGAGAACATGGATACTTTGCTGATTGAGCAGAAAGTCACAAATTGAACTCACAATAGATCCTAATATCTCATTTATGATTTTAGTTGCTAGTAAACAAATGGGAGAGGGCAGTGACCCAATCAGGAATATCTCTTTTCTGTCCTATATATTTCTCATGGACAGAATGTGATAGCATAGTTAGGTCCACCAGAGCAAGTAAAAGTGCTAGTTTTGTCATCAAAGGCATAACTATATGCCAATGGACACTTCCCTTTAAAGTACATTGAGTAGCCAGTTGGTGGACAGGACTGCGGTGAGCCAAAGGCCCCGGTGCAACAATACTGTGGCTGATTGAATGCTACACATGCACTCTTGCAACTAATTGTGGCGCCATTTGAATTTTTAACGGCGAGTTCCGACGGACAGTTGGCATTGACATCAACCGGACATGCCGTGGCGCTACACTTGCCGGATCCACCTTGTGGGGTGATGGAAACCGGTAAGTTGAATCCGTCCACAAGGCTAACGTCGTAAAAATCTTGTCCATTGTTGGCTGCTAGAGTTAATTCTACTAGGGTTGCCGGAGGGATTGCACCGGCACCATTGCAACCTATCTGACCGGAGCCGCATTCGGCAGTCTGACAGGTGAACTTTCCATTGGAATCCGTGGAGCAAAAAGACCGCGCCCAAAATCGGCCGGACCACGGGGCCGGCACATTGAGGGTCGATGAGGCTTTGGATGCTAACTCGAACCCAGTTGAAGATAATTGAGCGCCGCCACCACCAGTGAGGGTTCCGGGCCAAATAGTGTAAGGACAGTTATTTGTGAATGTGAATTTGGTCGAGTGAACCCCTGCAAAACATAAGAGAACCCGATGGAGCTTTCATGCATGATTAGGTCAAATCAAAACCATTTAGGTAGTAGGCTTCACATAAAAATTTCTAAAAAATAAAAATAAAAAGCGTTTTTTAGGATTATAGTTATATATAAATGGAAACTATTATATATAATACTTCTAAGTTAATTCATTTTATTGTTTAATTTTTACAAAAACCAAATCTAACTATAACTCTATCAATTACCTAATGAGATATGCATCATTAGTTATTTTTTTCTTTATCTAGCACTCTCACTTTTTCTTCTTATTCCAAACTTTATTCACACTACTTATCATTTCTCTGCACATAACCTTATTGATACAAATATAGATTCTTTTAATACCATAAAGGGGGTTAAATTAACATATTTAATATAACAATATTGTCTTAAGATTAATATCATGAACTCGTGTTTGTAATTCTGATTGATATATATATATATATATATATATATATATATATATATATATATAAATTCATATTAAATTAGTGTTTAAAAGAGTAAATATATCATGTTACTGTGTTGCCTTCCACTGTAAACCCATCTCAGAATTATAGTAGGACCTCTTTTATTTTTATCCAAAAATTGGCTTGAAGTTACTAGTTTCAAAACTAGTTTCTTACCATCTTTACATGAAAACCATGTACTTGTTAGTTGATTTTGTTTTTAAATTATTTAATTACCAAATCAAACTATAACTCTATCAATTGCCTAATGAGATGTGCATCATTTTGCTATTTATTTCTTTGTGTAGCACTTTAACTTTTCCCTCTTATTCCAATCTACATCGCGCTTTCATCAACTTCTTACTTTTCTACATATCACCTTATCAATACAAATATAGTCTTCTATACACATCACTCTATCCTACCCCCTCCTCCTCCTCCAGCTAAAAAATAAAATAATGAATGTGTATTCACTGAAGTATTATTTACACACACATATATATAATAAGGTAAAGTGCAAAAAATCTCCTTCAACTATGTCTAAATTTGCAAATAACTTCCCTAAACTATGTTTTGAGCATAAAATCCCTTGAACTATCACATTTAGTTGCAAAATGTCCCAATATCTTACCTATTTTCCATTAAATGACCATAATACCCTTTCTTATTGAATTACACTTGATATATTTTTCTTGTTAAAATAAATTATAAAAAAAAAATTCATACTAATTTGATGAAATATTCTCTATTAAATTTGCATAAGTTTGCCTTTAATTTTTTAAATTAATTATTTAAATAAAAATCTTAAATAGAAAATTTTGAAATAATTTAAGTAATTTCTTAATTTTCATGAATACATTGCATTAAAAAGAAGATATTTTTTATTTATGTAATTTATTAATTTTTTTAAAGTGAGTATAATAAGCTTTATTATAATAAGTTAATCATTTTAGAAAATGATCGCTACAAATTTATTTATTTATTTTCATTTTTATAATCAATTGATACAAATTATAAAATTAAGGTAAATGGTATAATTAATATTTAAATAACAGAAAATATAATAAAAAACAATTTATTAAGAAATGATAAATTTAATAACAGAGGGTAAAATAGTCTTTTGTGATGGGTTTGTCCTTAATTGTAACAAATTAATAGTTTAGGGGGGTAATCTTTAATTCAGAGGGGTTAGTTGCAAAAAGTCAATAATTCAGGAGTTTTTTTTACGCTTTACCTTATATCATAATAATAATAATAATAATAATAATAAACACACGATATCTGAATTGGGAATCAAGAATAACTTTAAAAAAATAATAATAAAACAGAAAAAAAAACTTACAGGAATCAAAAATGGTGGCGAGGGCAAGTATGCCGAGAAGGAGTCTAGCATTTGTCATTTTCTATAAAGCTGTGATGGTGAGTTATGTTATCTGTAGTCGTAGGGTTATATGTATAAATAGGGTCACAAGCATATGTAGCCCTAAAAAACAGCAAATCAAAAGATTTCGTTTGTTAACTTTGTTTTTGGATTTTTAATTTGGCATTGACTCTTGTATTTAGTTATGATCGAGAGTGCAATTATGATTGAAATTTTAAATTTTGCTCCACTACCAAGTGGTCCTGACTTAATTTCTCAAATTACCAAATTTAGCTAGTAATGGGTAATTAAAGATGGACAATTGACTAATAATAAATTGACATGTCTTATTTTAATTATCAAATAAGAGATAGTAATTAATCTTTTATTTTTTATTTGATAAATAAGTATGTACCCCATCATCTTTCATTTAATAATTAAAGAAGATGTATCCATATGTTATTGGTCCACATGATGGAATATAATTCCACTTCATATTTCAGCACATGCCATCTCAACACAGCAGGAGTCACCAATTATGGAAATAAGATATTATTTAATAAAATCTAAATATATATATATATATATATATATATATATAATGTTTGTAAGATGGGTTAAACTTACATTATTTTTTTATATGATACTTTTAAATGCATGTAGAAATTTTAGAATTTTTTTAATTCTTAAAATAAGATAGTGTTTAATTTAATCTATTATTGAATATACGTAGAGTTTCCAAATAATTTTTAATTTTTAAAATAATTTTTAATTTTATTTAATTCAAAGATATATATATATATATATATATATATATATATATATATATATATATCTGTATATGTATTATTTACAGAAATAAAAATGTGTGCTAAACAAACTCGACCAATTCTCACAAACATACACACACATGTATACTAGTAGAATTTTTATGCATTTTTAATTTCTAAAATTGGATACTATTTAGTTTAATCCAAAATATCCATAACAAAATAAATAGTGAGGTTTTGAGTCTTCAAAGAAGCAAAATGAGTGTGTGAGTGGTGTGCAAGTTTCTTGCCAATAACAAAATAAAAATTTCAAAGTGAATAATAAGGGTTCAAGTCTCCAAATGAGTAAAATGCGTATGATTAGAGTTAAAAAAAGAAAAAAGAAAAAGAGTAGAATTGAACTTATAGGTAAGATTATGGAGCCTAAGAACATAGATACTGCTGATCGAGCAGAAAGTCACAAATTAAACTCGAATTATCAAGTGGGCAGACCTCTTTCACATGTTCATTTTAGTTTGATATTAATGGAACAAATTATTAATAGATCAAAGCGTAGGACTGTAAATGAATCAATTTTTTCATAAATTATTCAAGTTTGGCTCGCTAAGAGTTTGATTCATGTTCGTTTTGTTTAGTAAACGAAATAAGCTCAAATAAAACTTTCAAACTCAATTAATAAATAAGTCAAACTCAAACGGTCTCCTGCTCTGCTTGTTTTTTCGTGAACATTTTGGTGAACAAAACTGGTGAACATGTTTGGTAGCATAAGTAATTATACATAAACATATTATTACTAATAAATTAATAATAGTAAGAACCTAACTAAACATTAATTTATACCCAATCCATTAAGTTTATACAAGTCCCATTTAAAGTTTAAAGTGAAAATTAATCTCTTAACCCAATTAAGGCCCATAAACCCAAAGCCCATATATACATATATAACCTAACCCTAATCTAATTACATATATACATATATAACCTAATCTAATCTAATCTAAGTTTATACATATATGCACGTAAATAAAATTTTGTAAACATTATGAAATATTTTATTTATATATATCACATTGTTAATAAATTTATGAAATCATAACAACCTTCAAAATTTAGTTAAAAAAATAAATTTGAAGAGATAAAAGAGAGTTTGTGTTTATTTGCTTGTACATATCAAAGAAAAGTGGAAAAAAATTGCCTTTATAAAATTACAAAGACATTAAAATCTAGTAAAAGGACAACTATTTGGATTATAAGGTCAAACTCAATGTTACTCCACTTGATTGTTAAATATTATATATAGAATATTAAATATTGAAACTTTGAAAAGAGAGAGAGAGAGTTATGGCTGATATGCGTCAAAGGGAGAAAAAAAAAATATAGAGATATTTCCTTGAAAATAGGAAATTAAAATGAAAAAAAAAAAAATGAAGCTTTGGAGAATAAGAGTAAAAATGCTACACACATTTAAAACAACACAATCCATTTATTAATTTGCACCAGAACAAGAAAGGAAAATTGCAATAAAGAATGATACCTAAAGTGGAGATGTTTTTCTTAGCGAATGAAGATTTGCAAGTCGAGGTCTAGTGGACTAATAAAAACATAAGATTTGATGATAATTTAAATATAATTTTAAAATGTTGATCAAATAACATACCACAATAATAAGCCATTCTTTAAAATATATAATTTATAAGTGGGTCAAATTTACAAATTTATAAAATCCTTTTAATACTTATCTTTAGAAAATGAAATAAAAATTAATAAGAAAAGAAAAAAAAAAAAACCAAACTTGAGAGAGAGGTTGATTAATTTTGCACCCAAATATCTAGGTTTCAAGAACTATAGTATATTGTATTAAGAGATGTGGGAACGGATGATTTGATTAAATACTAATTAAAAAGAGATTTATAAAAGACACAACTTCTCAATTGTAACAGATTTGGTGTTAATGTACAACTCTTAAATAGCATTTAGTATCAAACTATTAAAAAATAACAATAACAATTGTACTTAAATATTAATTAGGAATAAAATTTTAAAAGTCACCACTTTCAATATTAAAATATTTGAAAGCACGCAACTCTTGATATTTGAAAACACACAACTCTTATAGCAGTTAATACCCAAATTATTGGTGACTCTTAAAACATGAAAATTAAGTCACAAAATAATTATTTATTAAAATAACTGCTTTAAATTCTAAATAATCATATTTAGTCAGAAAGAATGATTGATAACCATTAGAAATAAATCTAAAAAGACACAATTCTTAAATAATAGTTAGTTAGCCGTTGTAATAGACAGCTAATAACCTAATTTTAAAATGTATATAAATTTTATAAATCCAATAAAGCTATAGATTTATAATAAAAAAATAATAATAGTTTAAATGTGTATAAATAACAACTCTTATAGCAGTTAATACTAAAATTATTGGTGACTCTTAAAACATGAAAATTAAGTCACAAAAATAATTATTTATTAAAATAACTGTTTTAAATTCTAAATAATCATATTAATTCAGAAAGAATGATTGATAACCATTAGAAATAAATCTAAAAAGACACAAATCTTAAATAATAGTTAGTTAGCCGTTGTAATAGACAGCTAATAACCTAATTTTAAAATGTATATAAATTTTATAAATCCAATAAGGCTATAGATTTATAATAAAAAAATAATAATAGTTTAAATGTGTATAAATATTAAAAATTTATGCAACATTGGTACTGATCATTAAGATTGGCAAAGAGAAAAAAATGATTCACCGTTCACTTTAGAAACAGAAAATAAGAATTGTAAAATGCAAATAAAAATATATAATTAATAATTCATAAAATATTTATATAATTTATTCTCATAGGATTTACAACATAAATAACTAAAAAAATTATAAAAATAGTAGAACAATAAACATTACACAATCGTTTCTTTGTTTTAATACTTTAAAGATCTCATCTGCAGTGCTTTGCTATTGCATCTCCTTCGGTAATGTGAGCAATTTAAAATTTTAAAAAGAAATAAAAAAACTGCCATATAAATTTTATGCACAATAAAAGTATGAAATAATAAAAAATTAAAGATCTCATATCATGAGAAACTCATCTTCATCTATGACTCAATAGTGTTATCTATTTTCTTAAGATGGATAATGATCTATTTTCTTAAGATGGATACTGTTAATATATACGGTGTATTATCAAAAATCATCTGAAACACACAACTAAAATTCTAGTAACACATGAGAAACAGATTTCTTTATTAAAAAGATTGGAAGAGAAATAAAATAATGAATATAAATAAATATTCTACATATCTATTAACAAGAAACGTACCTTCCAAAAAATAAGGCTGTGAGTTGCAACTTGCAATTGATGCATATGAACCAAATTATCACTCTCATGTTTCAAAGTTGTAGTTTGAACATTAGAAAAACCTCTGACAAGAATTTTTTACATAGACAAGTAGAAAGGGAGATATAGTTTGCAAAATGAGTTCAACTTAGACGTCATATATATATATATAAGATATATACAAAGAGAGATATACAGATTTATGAAAAATCTGAATGTAAGACTGATATTGTATAAGTTGTAACTAGTAAAGTTCTACTACCGTCGTGAAGTTTCAAACAATAACTAATTAAAATTGAAACAACGTTTATAAAATATTAAAATTGAGTATATATTAGTATTATTACCAAAAATTGTATATAAAAAATATAAATAAATTTAACAGTTGTAAAGTTTCAAACAACTTAAAACTGAAATGACGCTTATAATATATTTAAATCTAGTATATAATATTATTACAAAAAGTGTATATAAAAAATACAAATAGAATACACTTTTATAGGGTAAATAGATATATATATGATTATAGTTGCATTTCTCTCTGAATTTGTTTGAGCTCAAGCCGAGCTCAAATCAATCCACTAAACTCAACTCGGCTCATTTACAATCCTAGCTAGTCAAGTGTAATCATAAAGTAAAAATTACTAGTAGAACATTAACATTTAACTTACGTGAGAGAAATCAAAATTGTTTTAGTTGCTAGTAATGAAATGGGAGAGGGCAGTGATCAGATCAGGAATATCTCCTCTGTCCTATTTCTCATGGACAAAATGTAATAGCATAGTTAGGTCCACCATTGCAAGTAAATGTGCTAGTTTTGTCATCATAGGCATAGCTATAAGCCGAAGGACACTTCCCTTTAAAGTACTGAGAGTAGTTAGTGGGTGGACAAGTCGCTTCTGTGTTATAAGCTCCAGTGCAACAATATTGTGGCTCATTAAATGCTAGGCATGCACTCTTGCAACTAATTGTGGCACCATCTGAATTTTTCACCACAAGTTCAGCCGGACAATCGGCATTGACATCAACCGGGCATGAGGAGGTGCGGCAGCTGTCGGTTCCACCTTGTGGGGTGATGGAAACCGGCAAGTTGAACCCATCTATTAGGCTAATGTCGTAAAAATCTTGTCCATTGTTGGCTGCTAGGGTTAATTCTACTAGGGTTGCCGGAGGGATTGCACCGGCACCATTGCAATCTATTTGACCGGAGGCACAATCGGCAGTCTGACAGCTAAACTTTCCACTGGCGTCTGTGGTGCAAGAAGTCCGTGCCCAAAACCGGCCGGTCCACGGGGCCGGCACGTTGAGGGATAATGAGGCTTTAGATGCTAACTCGAACCCCGTTGACGAAAGTTGAGCGGCCCCACCAGTAGTAAGGGTTCCAGGCCAAATAGTGGTAGAACAATTGTTTGTAAATGTCAATGTGGCTGAGTCAGCCCCTGCCATACAAAAGAAAACCATATAGAATACCCATGAATAGGTCAAATCAAAACCATTTAGGTAGTAGGCTTCACATAAAAAAAAAAAAAAAATTAAAAATAAAAGTATCCATTTTATAATATTATAGTTATATATAAATGGAAACCATTATAGTACTTCTAAAGTAGTTCATTTCATTGTTTAATTTTCCAATTACCAAATCTAACTATAAAACTCTATCAAATGCCTAATGTGATATGCATCATTAGTTGTTGTTGTTGGTTTTTTTTTTTTTTTTTGTTAATCTAGCGCTCTCACTTTTTCTTCTAATTCCAAACTTTCTTCACAAATAACCTTATAAACACAAATATAGATTCGCTTAGAGGCTTTGGGCCTAATCCAGTTGGGTTGGGCACGGTTTTTTTAATGTATGTTGTTTTCTTTTGTTTGGGCCTCATCTCCAATTGGGCTGTATCATGGACATTCTTCATCCATTCAATATATTTGCTTTACTCTTCAGAAAAAAGAAAAAAGTAATAATAATAATGGTAATAAATATATATATATATATATGAAAACCATTATCGTACTTGTTATTTGATTTTGTTTTTAAAATTATTTTCAATTACCAAATCTAACTATAACCATCAATTGCCTAATGACATGTGCATCAATTGCTATTTATTTCTTTATCCAGCACTCTCACTTTTTCTTCTTATTCCAATCTTCTACTTCTTACTTTTCTAGGCATCCACCTTATCAACACAAATATAGATTCTTTTTACTTTCCGAAAAATATATATATATATATAGATTCTTTTAATACCAAACATAGCATTAATTAATATAAAAATAATTTACCCAAAAATAAAAAATTTGAGACCTTGAAAAATCATCAATAATTATAAAAATGGGCGAATTTATGAAAAAAGTGTGGTGTAACTCTGTTGAGGTTTGCACAATCACTTTCACTACCCATGATGTTAGTTAAAGACTTTATTGAAATTGTCATTTGTTGCCATTTAAGTCCATTAGTAGAATATTTAAAATATTCCGAAACTAAGCAGAGTAAAATGACTTAAATGGCAACAAATGACAATTTCAATAAATTTTAATCGGACAAAAACACCCTTACTTGTTATCCATATAATATAATTAATATTACGATTAATTTATCACATAAATATAATCTACTTAATATTTTTTTTTAAGGTCACCATCTCTTCACTCTCCGTTAGTCCTTATCTCCTTGTCATCTATTGCTTTCACCATACATACATACTTATATATATACAACATTTGTAATGAAAACCCAGATGGATCTTCTGGAAGAAAGAAGCACCTGGAGGTCCTGGAGTTGGGAATCTATTATCGGCAGAGCAGATAAGCATACTTGTCTTCGCAGCAGCTCCATCACCAACTGTTACACATTTGATAAACATTGAAGCCATTGATTAGCATAAAAAAAACAATAACCAGGCTGTGAGGGAGGAGAATACAGAAACTAACTTGTTTGTAAGAATGATTGGATGACGAAATGGGCAATAGCCGAGTTGGTACAAACCCACCTAGCTCCTAAAAGAAGAGGTTGGGGTTCGAATTTGTGCGGAGGTCATGTGTATGAATTTACTTAAAAAAAAGAAAAAGAAAAAATTAGGATGGGCAAGGCATGTACTAATTTCATTTTTGGTTGGCTTGGCATTTAAAGGGGTTCTTTTCATTTTTGGTTGGCTTGGAACACTCAATAATTCATCCCCTTCTCATCTATATCCTCTAAATTCATCCCAGGTAAACAAACACAAATCCAAAATCAAATTATCTATAATATTATTCAATTATGTGCATTCACTATAATATTAGTCACACACACATATTTAACTATATATATATATATATATATGTACACACACACAGTATCTAAAGAGGAAATCAAGAATAACTTAAAAAAATAAAACTACCAAAATAACAAAAACAAAAACAGAAACAAAACTTACAGGAATAAAAAATGGTGGCGAGGGCGGCAAGTATGCCGAGAAAGAATCCAGCATTCATCATTTTCTATAAATCTGTGATGGTGAGTTATGTTGTAGACTTGCAGTAGTGTTAGAAATTGACGAAGACTAAATTGGTTAAAAGTGTTTATGGTTGTTTGACGTGTCTTTAGGTAATTGGCTAGAGGGATGTGGGCTATGGTAATTGGGTGGGATTTTTCATGTTTGAGTGGTCAATGATTGAAATCACATTGTGTATTGAATATGTGTGGCAGTGAGGCTTACAAGTAATGGTGTAGTCATTCATTAGATGGAATTGGTCCACTACATGCGTGAATGAAGGAAAAGTATACAAGGAGAGGATCTAATGAGTTGGAGCCGAAATGGTTGACTTTCAAATGAGCTGTGTTTTGCTTGTTGGCTAAGGAAAAATTAGGCTAAGAAAATGACACAGCTTGGGACAAGTATGAGCCAGCTACTAAAGTCGGCAAGGAGCTGCCTATAAATATATGATGAGTGGAAAAAATTAGAGAAGAGGAAGAGAGGTCGAGAAGAAAAATGTAAGAGAGCGAACGAAAAAGAAAAGAGGAAAGAGTGAGTGCACAGTGGCATCGGAAGAGTACAGTGATGTAGTGTTGTAGATATATGTGAGTGTGGGGGTAGAGACGTTGTTGTGTGGTGAACACTGGTGGTGAGCGGAGGGTCTCGTGCAGTGGTAGATCGTGAAGAGTTAGGATATCCGACACCATGCCTGAGTATTGAGAGTGTGGACACTGTCTGGTGTTCGAAGTCTCTAACGGTGTAATTTTTTATGAGACAGTGAGTGTGTGTTATTTACCGTTGTAATAGTATAATCTATTCTCTCTATGGACGTAGGTTAGGTGGGACCGAATCACGTTAAGTATAGTGTATTTGTGTTTGTCTTTTTTATGTCAGTGTGGTGTTCAGATCTCTATTTTGTTTGTGTGTTGCTTCCGTTGTGCCAAACGAATTAAGGAGGGTTTGATTCCTAATAAATTGGTATCAGAGTTAGGTTAATTATGTGCATGTGGGCAGCGCACATGGGAACAAGGAATGCATGTTGGGTTTTATTTCAAATTAATCCATTTAGAAATCAAGAATACTTTAATTAATTAAAGAGTAATTTAGACTCGTACCTGATTGCTGATTAACGCACATATACCTTTAGAATATCATGTAATGCTCTATTAATTCCTGTAAAATATTAGAGCGTTTTACCTCCTTCTGAAAGTTGTCGATACGATAGGACTGAATAAGGGTTTTAAAACCCTTATTTATAACAACAACAGGGGAGGATGACTTTTCTACAAACAAGCATATTTAAGTCTCCCTTCCTATCATGGAAACTTATATATCAATGATTAGAATTAAATCACACCAAATAAGTTGGAAAACCACAATCCAATGGTATAAAACCATACTCCCAATTAGACCACCAAATTGGAAAGTACAACCCAATCCATCAAGTATCAATAATCACATTGCAATCCTATTTTAGAAACCGTAATACATAGGACCATAAAATAATTTTTATTATTTAAATATATATATATATATATAAATTCCAACAATGCATGTATCGACATGGTCGAGCATTGAGGAGACGATGCGAGGAGGTGACTTGAGGTACTAACAAGGAGGGACCTTATCTATTGGGTGAGTACACTGGAGAGTTGTACAAGGAAGTTGTCGCGCCACATATTTTTCCAGAGCCTCGGTGTGAGGGGAAGACCCACCCGAGGTTGGAGGTCAGCTATCGTAGCCTGTCATTTTAATGCGATGGGGTTGTGATTGGGATGTGGATGTGATTAATTAATAGGGCTAAATTCAGAGATTTTTGAATCGTCACCTAACATTGAGTTCTGTTATGTTAGGTCACTAAGAATGAAGAATTTGGATTGAATTGGGGGACCCTAAATGACTTATGGTTTGCTTCACCAAAAGTGGGATTTGGGGGTTTATTTACGCTTGGAGAAGAGGTGAGGCACCCCACACTACAAGAAAAATGACTATTTATAACAAGGTATTTACAACATGCAAAATTACACCTTGTCAAAAGAAAATTTTACAACATGTTTCCATATGCATTGCCAAATTGAAAACATACAAAGTTTTGAGCATGTTGTCAAGTAATTTGAAATTTTTTAGTACTAATTTTAATTATATTTTTCCCGCGCACATGTCTATCACCTGCCTCTAAGTATTTTGTAATTGCACGACCCACCACGACTCTCCCTCTCCTTGCTGCCTCGGCTCTCTCTGTATCGTTGACATACGGTTCTATGTCTCATCTCTGTATGTCTACGCATATCTCTCTCCCTGTTTATCAATGTGTTATCCGAGTTAACTTGAACTATAATTTTATTCATCCATGTATCTATCTAACACTATCCATGAATTATCCTCTTTGGATTTCAAGCCCTAACTCTCTTATTTTGACCAATCTATCACTCAACTATCTTCTAATCAGTATTTGGCCATCAGCAATTTGTTTTTGCATCTGATAGAGTCCTCTTTACTCTTACACAATATGATCTCTGATTATTGTTGGCGGAAGTAGCCAGAGAGAAAGAAGCCGAGAGTCGCCCAAAGGCGATTTTCTAGATCGGCGGTTCAATTTCTGTCTCTGCAATAAACAAGCGATCGAATTCGTGAATGCACCCAATGGCAAGTCTATCATTATAGAAAGAAACGAGATTTGGATCTTCTTTCATTAATTGGCGCCGGTCTACTAATTTTGTTTTAGAGGGAGAGAAGGAGAGGAATTTACAGGGTTTACAGGGTTTCCGTCCGGTTTCATTGTTTTAGAGAGAAGGATAAAATTGAAGAGAGAGAGGTGATGTGTGGATCCCCTCTTGTTGTTGGGATGAATGAATTTGATTCCATTAGAAGAATTTTTTGCTAAAGAAAGGTCGGTTGGTGTTAATCAGATCTATTAGGGCATTGTGAATGTTGTATTTTGGCGATTCGTGATATCTACATTTTGAATGATGATTTCGAATCCCGATTTGGTTTATTGCGCTTCTGTTTCCGAAGGAACTACGATTCTCGCATAGTTCAACTCCTTGGACACCGATCTCGGAAGGATAGCTGCGAAATGTCTCGAAAAGACGCCGTTTTTTCACATCATTTTCTCTCATACCATTCGACAAAGGACCTACAAGTTCTTGATCGACGACCCTTTTATCTATTTCGCCGTGTTCGATGAGAATCTGGATAACTCGAAAGGTCTTGTCTTTCTCAAAGGCGTCCTGTTCATTGATATCATTGAGAGCAAAACTGACACATTCTGGGGAAGCTTTTAGATGCCCAATCACACACTGAGTTTCGCCACATTTCATATACTGCCAAGTGGGTCTCGGACGAACCTTGCTGCTCTATCGGGTAGGTTATGGCGACCCAAACTGTGTTAGCGTTCCATCCCATCAATGATTTGGATAGCTTGCATTTTCATTGTTTTCAAGGCGAATTCAATCCAGTATTCCATCAATTGTTGACGCCATCGTCGAATTTCGATGCTCTGCATTCGCCACAGAGAGTTCTGAAACACTCTCGGAGTGGAAGTTTGGATTCGCCCAAAGGGTTGAAATTTGGGTCTGTGCCGTTGCTCAAAGGGGATAAGTGCATGGGGTTGAAGAAGAAAAAGAAGTTGAATAGTAAGTTGAATATGGAGATGGCCGGTGAAGGCGAAGATTCAGTGGTCGGTAACAGGGTGGATATTATTGATGGTGGTACTAGTTTGAGTAGAGAATTTTCGATGTTAAAGCAAAAAAAAAAAAAAAAAAAAAAAAATGGATTTTATGCTGTGGATTCAGAAACCCAAAGGGCAAAGCTAGTTTGGAAGAAACATGTTTGGGTGGTGGTGTCATTGGACTTGATTGTTTGTTTTATCTTGTTTGGGATATGGTTGTGGATTTGCAGGGGATTTAAATGCATTGATGGTTGAATTGGCACTAACAGGTTTAGATGGCGGTGTTCTCTGATTGTTGGATCTCTTTTCCTGTACATTGCTAGCAGTTGGGTTCTGTGATGATTTTCAAAGGCGTATTGGTGTAGTAAAATAGAACCTCCAGTTACTTGTGAGTTTCCAAATTGTGATTCAGCTTCTACTGGTAATCTATTTTATCAATGAAGTCCTGGTTTTCTGGAATAGTATATATACCGCTTCTTAATATGGTTCTTAACTATCTCATTTTGTGTTATGCTTTAAACTGTGTGTGTAATTACAGATATTATGGGCCTACACATTTTTAAATTATCTCTTCAGAAATGTTTCTGGTTAACATTATGGATTCACTATTACTTTTTGTCACTTGGGCTGCAAGGCTGGTTGTGATTAGATTAGATTGTAGGAGGTGTTTTCTCTTTGTGGAAAGGTTTCAATTTGTATCATTACCTCTTTTATAATGTGTGTTTTTCAAATTTTTTTTTTTTTGCTTCATAGGTCACTTTGTTATGATCTAGCTTCACCAATCAGTCTGATTAGATAAATCGTATAATTATATGGTCTAATGGCCATGTAGAGTACTTAAAACTAAATCGTGTATTGAAGTATTCACATTCATAATCCATTAAGAAACTGGTGAAAGTTACATTTTAGGTTCTAAAAGGGCTGGGAAGGGTTAACCAAAACTTGGTCCCAGGCCCGAGCTGTCCTGGCTTTTTCCTTAACGAGCTGGACCTGCCTAGGGATGGGCTTCTTAGTCGGAATTTATTGCGACCTTTGGGTTTAAATACATTCGCATGTGTCCAGTTCTGTTTTCAGAACCTAATTAAAAAAAACAGTTCAAATGTGCCATGTATGTGTAGCGTTGCTTAAAGTGACTTTCTTGATTTGTTACATTATAGCCTAAAGGCGATTTTTCCTTATTGTTTTGAAGCTTTTATATTGATGGGTGATAATCCTCCACAATTGGGTTTCAATTATGCGATTTTGTCAATTTCGACAATAAAATATGCCCAGAACTTTGTACTACGCTGTTATGAATGCTGATAATCCGAGGGGTCAATTTGTGTCCAATTTTGTCTTCCTGAACTTTTTACATTTGTTGTAGCATCACAACCTATATTTAGAAGTGCTGCAAGCCTGCAAGAAAGTTGTTACTGATTTTCCTCAATAATGACCAATTACTTTGCAACATTTGCTTATAAGTGATTGAATTTTGATCAAAAGATTTGATGGATTATGGCAGCTCC